TATCCCTCTCCCTTCCTCTCTGTAAAAAAATCAATAAAATATATTTAAAATAAAAAATAAAAAAATAAATCTCCCTCAGAGCCCCCACCCTTTGGCCTCTCCATCCCAGTGTCTCAAGTGCAGGAATCACCCCACTGTCTCCGAAAACCTGCCTCTCTTCCTGGTTCCCAGCCTCGGACATGGGGCCCACGCCCACCCCGCTTCCCAAGCCACAGACGGAGCCCTGGGATCTCCCCGAGCCTCCCTCTCCCTCATTCCTCCTCTGAGCCATCACTTTCTTGCTCAGATCCCTTCCATGGCTCCCTAGTGCTCTTGAGATAAAGACCAGGCACCTGGCATGGCCCTCAAGGCCCCATGTGACCTGCCCCCTCAACCATTTCCTGGGCCACCCCTACCCCCCTCCACTCAGCCCCTCAGCGGCACCAAACCCTCTCTCGCTGCCAGGCCTTTGCACCGGCTGTTCCCTCTGCCAGGAACACTCGCACCCGCACCTCCATGCTGCTCCATCCAGGACCCTCCGCACTCTTATTGGTCTGACTCTCCCTCCCCTTCCCGCCCTTCGGACACCGGATCTGGAGCAGCGTCCCCTTCACCACCCCTCTAGCTAATGCTGCTCGTCATTTGCTTCCTCCAGGAAGCCCACCCTGATCTCCTGAACGAGCCAGGCGCCCTGTCACACACCTCCCAGAACCACACCCGTCTGGCACAAAACACCCCCCCCCCCTCCAAAAGCTCACGTCTGCATTGATTGAATAACGCCTGGCTGCCCCGCGGCTATGAACACCACAGGGGCAAAGACCATGCGGTGAATCCCCGGCACCTAGAATACTGCCTGACACCCACCCAGGTCTATATAGCTATATATATAAAAGCCTAAGTGACCGGCTGACCAACCGGTAGCTATGATGCATAATGACCACCAGGGGGCAGACGCTCAACGCACAGGCATGGAAACATGCAAAGGACTGATGAATCTCAGAGGAAAGGGAGGAGGGGGAGGACAGGAAGAGATTAACCAAAGATCTTATATGCATAATAGAGGCCTGGTGCACAGATTCGTGCCCCGGTGGGGTCCCTCGGCCTGGCCTGTGGGGATCTGGCCGAAACCGGCTCTCCGACATCCCTCAGGGGGTCCCGGATTGCAAAAGGGTGCAAGCCAGGCTGAGGGACCCCAGCGGTGCACGAATCCATGCACCGGGCCTCTAGTTGATAAATAAATAGATGAATGAATGGATAGTTCTCTGAGAACCAACCCAGCTCTGAGAGTCTACCATGACACTCCTTTCCTCAAACACCTTCTGCGGATCCTTGCTGCCTACAAGATCTCGTTTCCTTGGGCGTAGAGAGACCCCTAATTCCTCCACCGTGTTCACTAGCCTAGGGAATCCCAAACTCTGCCTGTGTCAGAATCCACCAGGGAGGCCAATGATGCAGATTTAGGAGGTCTGGGCTCGGGCCCAAGAGTCAGCATTTCAAGAGCTCCCAAGGGATGTTGTTGGTGATGGTGGTGGTGATAACGATGTTGATGGTGATGAAGATTATGATGGCCCTGGCCGGTTTGGCTCAGTGGATAGAGCGTTGGCCTGCGGACTGAGGGTCCCAGGTTCGATTCTGGTCAGGGGCACATGTCCAGGTTGCGGGCTCGATCCCCAGTGGGGGGGGGCGTGCGGGCAGCCGATCAGTGATTCTCTCTCATTCATTGATGTTTCTAACTCCCTCTCTCTTCCTCTCTGAAATAATAAAAAAAAAAAAGATAATGATGGTGATGATGGCCATGATGATGGTGAAGATGATGATGACAGTGATGGGAGTGATGATGATGATGGTTATATCAATCGTGATGATGGTGAAGATGATGATAATAGGGATGGTGGTGGTGAGGGTGGTGATGATAATGGTGATAGTGATAATGATGGTGATGATAGCCATGATGATAATAGTGATGGGAGTGATGATGATGATGGTTATCTTGATGGTGATGATGGTGAAGATGATGATGATGGTTCTATCAATCGTGATGATGGTGAAGATGATGATAATAAGGATGGTGGTGGTGATGATGGTGATAATGGTGATAGTGATAATGATGGTGATGATGGCCATGATGATAATAGTGATGGGAGTGATGATGATGATGGTTATCTTGATGGTGATGATGGTGAAGGTGATGATGATGGTTATATCGATGGTGATGATGGTGAAGATGATGATGATGGTTATATCGATGATGATGATGATGGTGAAGATGATGATGACGGTTATATCGATGGTGATGATGGTGAAGTGAAGATGATGATAATAGGGATGGTGGTGATGATGGTGATGATAATGGTGATAGTGATAATGATGGTGATGATAGCCATGATGATAATAGTGATGGAAGTGATGATGATGGTTATATCGATGGTGATGATGGTGATAATGGTGATAGTGATAATGATGGTGATGATGGCCATGATGATAATAGTGATGGGAGTGATGATGATGATGGTTATATCGATGGTGATGATGGTGAAGGTGATGATAATAGGGATGGTGGTGGTGAGGGTGGTGATAATGGCAGGAACTTGCTCATTTTGACATATTTCCTTGCAACAGGCACAGTTTTTTGTTTTATTTTTTTGTTAATAATTTTAAATGTTTTGTTTATTCATTTTTTATTTTTGTTGTTGTTGTGAATCCTCACCTGAGGATATTTTTCCATTGGTTTTTAGGGAGAGCGGAAGAGAGAGGGAAAGACAGAAACATCCTCACACATCGATGGGTTGCCTCCTGAACGCGCCCTGTCAGGGCTGGGGCTGGGGCGGAGCCTGCAACCAAGGTGCGTGCCCTTGACCGGAATCGGACCCGGGACTCTGTGGTCCGCAGGCCGATGCTCTACCCACTGAGCCAACCGGCTAGGGCCAGGCACAGATTCAGGTGCTGGGATGGAGGCGTGAACAAGAGACAGGAGTCTTGCCCTCCAGGAAACCAAATGTAATGCGTGGACCGCGTCCGGAGCATGGCGTGAGCAAACCAACTGTAATAAGACATTTGGGGCCCTGACCGGTTTGGCTCAGCGGATAGAGCGTCGGCCTGCAGACTCAAAGGTCCCAGGTTCGATTTCGGTCGAGGGCATGTACCTCGGTTGCGGGCACATCCCCAGTAGGAGATGTGCAGGAGGCAGCTGATCGATGTTTCTCTCTCATCGATGTTTCTAACTCTCTATCTCTCTCCCTTCCTCTCTGTAAAAAATCAATAAAATATATTTTTTAAAAAAAAAGACATTTGGGGACAATGGGGTGAATTCAGATCGGGCTTGGGTATTCAGTAGTAAGAAATTACCGTTAAATTTCGTAGAAGGCCTAATGGCAGTTTTTATGTTTAAAAAAAAAGTCTTAATTTTCATTTTAAACATAAAGTTGAAAGTATTTTTAAATTAAAACCATTGGCTCTCCCTCACCTCTTGGGTGGGGATCACTGTGAGGGGCACATTTCTCTCTGACTCCCAGAGTTCCTTGGGACTAGCGCCCACGTGCCCCGGTGGTAATTTGCTCAGTGATGCCCTCCACCAGCTGCCTTGCCTGTCCACCCCCACCCCAACCCCCAGGGCAGCACTTCCGGGGGTCGCCTCCCACACGCCCTGCACTCCAGCCTCACCTGGGGTCTGCTTCCGGGGGATCCCCAACTAAATCCAGTGTGGCCAAGGACCTGTGATGACAAGAACTCGCATAATCTGCCCAGCCAGCGGGACTCAGTGGTTGAGCATCGACCTATGAACCAGGAGGTCGCGGTTCCATCCCCAGTCGGGGCACATGTGTGGGTTGTGGGCTCGATCCCCAGTGGGGGACGTGCAGGAGGCAGCTGATCAATGATTCTCTTGCGTCATTGATATTTCTATCTCTCTCTCCCTCTCCCTTCCCCTCTGACATCAATAAAAACGTATATTTAAAAAAAGAATTCTAAGAATCTGAATAGGAAGGTCTCCAGGTTAGCTGAGACCCTGGGGTCAACATGAAGCTCATGGATTGTTCTTGTGTTTAGGAAATGCACTCCAAGTACTAAGGGATGAATGGACATCAGACCTGCAACTTACTCTCCAATAGAGAGACGGAAAAGTCAAGCCAATGTGGTAAAATATACACAATGGAGAGTCTGGGTATATGGGAGTTCTCTGTACTATTCTGGCAATATATTATAACCTTTAAATTATTTCAAAATAAAAATAAGCTTTGTAATCCACTGGTAGTATTTATGAAATTCTTACTGATGAAATTACATGATGCGTGGGTAGGAGATTAGAAGAGGCAATGGATGGGACAAATTTAACTTAGTGCTTATAATTGCTAAGCTGGAGATGGAGGTAGGGGGTTGGTTCTCTTGTTCTTAGAAGACACTCCGGTGTTTCTGCCCCAGGGCCTTTGCACATGCTTTTCCTAGTGAGTGAAACACTCCGTGCCCTATTTCTCCACTTCCCTTCCTCCCACTCAAGGTCCAGCTCAAATCTCACCTTTTCCCTTTTACTTCTCCCAGGTTTCATTTGCCCAATATGTACCTCAGAGACCTCAAACTGAGGCCCTAGCCAGTTTCCTCAGTGGTTAGAGCAGTAGTTCTCAATCTTCCTAGTGCCACGACCCTTTAATACAGTTCCTCATGTTGTGGTGACCCCCAATTTCATTGTTACAAATTGAACATAATTAAAGCATAGTGATTCATCACAAAAACAATACGTAATTATATATGTGTTTTCCGATGGTCTTAGGCGACCCCTGTGAAAGGGTCGTTCGACCCCCAAAGGGGTCGCAGCCCACAGGTTGAGAACCGCTGGGTTAGAGCGTCAGCCCACGAACTAAAGGATCTCAGGTTCGATTCCAGTTAAGGGCACGTACCTTGACTGCGGGCTTGATCCCCAGCCCTGGTCAGGGCACATGTGGGAGGCAACCAATCGATGTGTCTCTCTCACATCGATGTCTCTCTCCCTCTGTCTCTCCCCTTCCCTTCGACTCTCTCCAAAAAAAAAAAAAAATCAATGGAAAAAATACCCTCTGTTGAAAATTAACAAAAAAACAAAACCAAACAACTGAGGGAGGTAAATTAGCCACAAGAAACAGAGTGGGACAAGGTTCATGATACACAGTAATAACATTAATTCTCAGAACAGCCCTGTGAATTAGGTGCCATGATTAGCCCTATTTTACAGATAATAAAGTTGAGGCCCAGAGAGATTCACTTGCCCACTGTTGCCAGTAGGAAATGGCAGAGAACGCAGGCGGGGCCGGGGGAGGCCAGATCTAGACCCTTTACTCCCACCCACTCACAGGTAACAGTCAGGCAGCCAATCAGGGGAGGCAGGGACTGGGTTACCAGAGCCAGGCCACACTTGGCAGAATGTCAACTGCCCCATGGGCCCAGTGTATCAACTTTTCATGAGAAACCAGAAGTCCTGTTGTTATGTAAACTCACGCTCTATGGAAAAAATACCCTCTGTTGAAGATTAACAAAACCAAACAACTGAGGGAGGTAGATTAGCCACAAGAAACAGAATGGGACAAGGTTGGTGATAAACAGTAATAACTTGCACACAGCAAGCTCTGAGCCAGGCATGTTTTACGGGCTCAGTGGGTGTTTCACTGAATCTCATTCAATTCTCAGAACAGCCCTGTGAATTAGGTGCCATGATTAGCCCTATTTTACAGATAATAAAGTTGAGGCCCAGAGAGATGAACTTGCCCACTGTTGCCAGTAGGAAATGGCAGAGAACGCAGGCGGGGCCGGGGGAGGCCAGATCTAGACCCTTTACTCCCACCCACTCACAGGTAACAGTCAGGCAGCCAATCAGGGGAGGCAGGGACTGGGTTACCAGAGCCAGGCCACACTTGGCAGAATGTCACCTGCCCCATGGGCCCAGTGTATCAACTTTTCATGAGAAACCAGAAGTCCTGTTGTTATGTAAACTCACGCTCTTTTTAAATATTGGCAACTAGTGAGAGAAAAATACATACATACACTGTGTGTGTGTGTGTGTGTGTGTGTGTGTGTGTGTGTGTGTGTGTGTGTGTGTATAGTCCCAAAATTCACGCAAGAAGTAATTTTGATAGAATATACAGGTTTATGATTAAAAATTGTAAATTTTTTATTGATTCATAAAGTATACAGTATAGGGTTATGTATGGAATAGCACATCATCGGGTAAATGGCCTCCACGGCTTTGCTGGCACATACGCAAAGCCGTGGTCTTCATTGGTCTTCATTGTCCCGGCTCCTGGGCCATAATTGGTACTTGGT